ATCCTATTTTAATTCTCTAGTTTTGTACAAATGCTACAAAGGAGGTCAATTTTCACATCTACGTAACATAAATTTGTTTACAGACATAGAAAACAGAACTGGAGAAGCCTTCACTCAGCTGGTAATCGATATGCACAAAACAACAATGTGACAGCACTGAAATTGCTTCACAACAGGGGAATAAAAGATAACAGGAAACGAAAATTGGACACTCTTCTTTTGCAAGCTGTTGAAAACGGAAGCTTTGAAACATCTTGTATCTACACGAGGAAAGAGCTGATTTAAATGCCAGTAAAGTGCAAACTTCAAAGCTGACATCTTACAATGACATGGAAGATGAACATACAAATAGTGTAATTCATCTTGCCTGTCAGGGAAGTAACACAGCTATAGTGAAACATGCCCTGTCACCCTCTAACTTCAACAGTCGTGGGCAACATGGGTGGACACCTGTGATGAAAGCAGCTGCCAATGAACAACAAAGTGTGTTTGACCTGCTGGTATCAAAGCAAGCTGACCTAACACTGGTGTCTACATCGGGTGATAGTTTACTTCATCTTGCCTGTCAGGGAGGTAACATAGCTATAGTGAAACATGTCCTGTCACCCTATAACATCAACAGTAGGGGGGGGGGGGGGGGGGCATGGATGCACACCTGCGATGAAGGCTGCATACATGGGACATACAGGTGTCATCGACCTCCTTTACAAGAAACAGCTGACCTGACATTATTTACAGATGGTAGTGAGGATATCTTCAGCATATCCAGCAGGGGAGAGAATCCTGACATGGCAGGTTATATTCAAACGCTGCTGCCTGACAGTCATGCCAAACATTCCCCTATTGTACAAGATACAAAGATCTGTTGGCTATAATAACCTGTCAGCTTACCATGGCACTCAGAGAGACACAGCAGAGTATTACCATACTGCTGCTGATGGTAGAGAGCATGCCAGACATTCTCACTGTAATGTCACAGACAGAAGTACTGTCCGGTAGCTAGAGGTCTCTGTACAGACACATGATATCATCACATGGTGTCCTGGAAGAATCGCCATTACCTGGCTTCATGGTCATTCATTTCACACTTGTAGTTTTACTGTTGTCATGTAGATCTGTTGATGCTGTTTTCACCATGGTGACGCAATCCTACAAAAAACAGTTGGTAATCAATGTTCAACAGGGACTGGCCAGTGCTATGGAGCAGGAGCACAATGAACATAGGGATGTGAAAGACCCTACCAACAATAGCTTGTTTCAAGACTGCCGTGGTCAAGTGGATAGAGCGTCTGCCCAGAGAGCAGAAGATCAGAGGTTTGATCCTCAGCTGTGTCACACTAAAAGACGTTAAAAAATGTTTCTTGTTGTTACCTGCCTAGAGGTTGGATAAAACAAGGACTGGTCAAGTCGGAGTCAGTATACTCAGTCTGAGTGGAGTTTCCATGTTAAACTGCAGTATGGTGTTCCAGTTGGCTGGCACTATATAACTGGGATTGGTCCCAACCATTACACGCAAATGTATTGATATATATATACATAAAATGATCTTGTAAACCCCCATTTCATCTCACCTCACCACCTCTTGTCATAACACTGTTAAAAACACACCTGTTTGTGATAGCTCACAATATGAAACCTCTACTCACACTCAAGACTCTTTCAGCAGTGCGTTCTTGATATTGATGTAATGTTAATGTCTACGTTCTTATGTTTGATGGGTTGTTTATTTTTCTGGGATTTTGATTGCATACAATATGCTTTAAAATCATAGCAAATTTCAGTAATCACAATAATATTACTGATTAGAAGCATCCTTATGGTATAAAGTGTGAAAAGTGTATTAATTTTTAGATTCATTTTACTTCTACCTGATGTAATTGTAATAATTGTGAAAAAGAGAATGAAGCAAATATCTATAATTTTCTCTTTTGATATATTTTCAAAGTTAAAGATACTTTTAATGACATTAAAACATCACCTAATCACACTGTCAGCTGCTACAACACATGGGATATGATTAAAACCTCTGACCAGTACTACTGCAGTATATCATATAGTACTGTTTATATCATATTTGATGAGAAAACATCTTAGCTTCTATCAGGTTTGAGCATTCACTTCTCCATTACTTGGAGGAGGCACGGGTGGTCCAGTCGTCTAAGGCGGCGCGATTCGCTGTGCAGAGTTGGGTCCCTTGGGCACGCCAGAAACCTATGATTGTGGGTTTGAATCCCGGTTCTCCCCGATTATGTTTCTAGGTTTGTCGGCACCATACCCGTGCTCGTGGGTTTCACCGAAGTGGTAAACGTCTGAGGCCTGCATCACTTCGGGCTTTCCTCCCACATCAAGCTGACACGCCGTGATATAACTGGAATACCGTTAAAAGCGGCGTTAAACCCAACTCACTCACTCCCCATTACTTGGATGGATGGGGATGTGGCTTCATGAAGTGTATTATCCATGTAACCATATTGTGTATATATATTACCATGAACCTATCATGATGTAGAATGTGAGTAGTCATAGAACACATTTGACAGTCTGAACATAACCATGCCACAATGTATTAATCTTACATGCATATATGCTAAAAGATTGACCATCAGTTTGACAATTAAAGTATATCCTATTTTAATTCTCTAGTTTTGTACAAATGCTACAAAGGAGGTCAATTTTCACATCTACGTAACATAAATTAAAAGTTTATACAAACCTGTTTCATCCCTCTATTTAACCATTTTAATGACGGGGGATGTTATTGTTAGTTTGCCCAAATACTCATCGTCTCTTGTATTTGTAGGCTGTGATGCCTTCTACAATATGAAAACTGGCATTTCTAGAGATGAGTGTAACCTTTCTGGTGTGAAGAGAGACATGGACCCTTGTTGAATAATATTATATATTATATTATAAGATCTAAGACTGGCATTTTGAGAGGTACCTTTCTGGTTGCAAGAGATGCAGGATTATACCCATGTTTAAAATAGTATGTTTTATCACAGTGGCATCACTTCATCACTGGCAGGGGGGGGAAATGCGCTGTGCAGAGTTTTGTCCCTTTGGCTCACCTGGATTCTGTAATCAGATTTGAATTCTTGGTTTGTCAGCTAATGGCCTCATTTTGGGCGTACTGCTCCATTTAGCTGACATACTGTTATGTTGCTGAATCAAACTTATGATTATAGCAACATAACACTTCAAAATCCTTTGAATATGATACATCTAAACTTCCAAAAGGATGTGTGGGTCTTATCTGAGATTTGAGTTGGTCAATCAGATGATACTATGTTCGAACATACTCCCACTGGAAGCTTCCTATATATTGTGTGCTTCAACCTTTCTTGTGCTTCAACCTCTTTTGTGCTTTAAATAAAGTTTTAATCATTTCTGATAACAGATGTTTTAGTTGTTTTTATTGCATCTGATGCTTTGTCATTGTTGTAGAATAGGTTTGCAGCAACCCATGCTTGCCATAAAAGGCGACTATGCTTGTCGTAAGAGTCAACTAACGGGATCAGGCTCAGTGTCTTGGGTGACATGTCATTGTATCCCAAATGAGTAGATCAGTGCTCATGATGTCACTCACTGGATTGTCTGGTACAGACCCTTATTTACAGACCGCCATCGTCTAACTGGAATATTGCTGAGTGTGGCGTTAAAGAACAAACAAATGAACAATTGTTCTGAAGTTGTGGAATGTGACATGTTCTGGCAGACAATATATGCACATGTTCAAAGAAGATGCCAGAGTTATGAGTGCAGACATGAACAAGTATCTCATTGACAGTTTGTACTGTCTGTTGTGTTACGCCACACTCATCAATATTCCAGCTGTGTGACAACCCGAATTGATTGATATTGTTGTTAAAGATCCATGCAATGGGGGTACGATGACACACAAGTTGACTGAGCCTGATCACCCTATCCATTTGGATGGCTCTTACATCGTGTCCTGACTCACACAGACATAAGAATACTTCTTAAAGATTTGTTTCAAGAGGAAATTGAGCACTGTTCAATTTTGAGATTTGAAAATGATTGATGTGAGAACTCATTTGGTTTTCTTACCTCAAACATTTCTGTCAGTCAGTATTCAACATGCGGCAGGAATGCACAGCCCTGTGTCCTGTCTCCTACTCTCTTGGGGTCCTCAGTCATGTCAAACAGACTTCAACTGGAGTGTGTTCTGAGCCACTGAATGCTGGTCAGACAACGTGCCCATTAGGACGCAATACCTGATGTGTCAATAGCTGGGTCTCACGGGTCAGTGGTGTACAGTAATATCATCCAGATAAACACAAGTTGTCTAAGTAACTATACAGAGCGCAGGTTCTCAACATGGTTCTGCTGAACAATCCCGGTTTCATCCGTGTCCTCTATACTTTGTTGGAGTTTAAAGGCACTTTTTACATTATACCAGCCACCAAGGGGACACCAGGAGTGGTCTTCACACATTGTGCACATGTAGCAATCAAACCCCACACTTCAGCTAACAGGCAAACACTTTAACCACTAGACTACCTCACAGCCCTGAGTACTTCAGTGAAAAGTTCAAAACTCTTGTTTGTTCTTGGTTTAACATTGCACTCAGCAATAGTCCAGCACTAAGCAATAGTCCGGCACTAAGCAATAGTCCAGCACTAAGCAATAGTCCAGCACTAAGCAATAGTCCGGCACTAAGCAATAGTCCAGCACTAAGCAATAGTCCAGCACTAAGCAATAGTCCGGCACTAAGCAATAGTCCAGCACTAAGCAATAGTCTGGCACTAAGCAATAGTCCAGCACTAAGCAATAGTCCAGCACTAAGCAATAGTCTGGCACTAAGCAATAGTCCAGCACTAAGCAATAGTCCAGCACTAAGCAATAGTCCGGCACTAAGCAATAGTCCAGCACTAAGCAACAGAGTCCCCACAACGTTCCTGTCTGCAGAATCAACCACACTATACTACTGTGAACTACTACCCACCAATCCACACAGAAACAAGGACAAAACACATCACAACAGAGTATTTTTTATTTGTATCTAAATACGTCAGGAAGAAAATAAATTGCTCACAATAACAATAACATACAGAGCTATAAATGAAAAAAAACAACCTACAGAAGTCTGTCATGTTCTAATTTAAAAAAGGCAAGCTACAAGCTATCTGCACAGGGCTAACAGACATGGGTTAAATGAAATTAACTCTATGTAAAGTCTTAAATTTCTTAGAAGATGTTTTGTCAATTGATTCAAACACAGTGTGAATGTCAAAATATTACAGAAAATACATATATCAAAATTATCTCCAAAATGTATCCTTTACCATAAGTCCCCACTAAAGAAAGAGCATTTCTTTACAGCTCTCTGCAGTCTCAAGAGGAAAGAAACAGATTTGTGGATTCCAGACTTTGTTTCAATACTATGTTTTGTAGTCCTGAGAACATAGGTAACATAAGCAGATAGACAGAAGGTCATATGTTAGTGTGTGGTTTAAGTGTACTATGAAAGGACCTGGGTAGCATTAACTTTTACATGATGACATAACAATAAGATAACATGCACTTACAAATACAAGTTACAAGATAACTACGTACATGTATTTATCACATAAGTTCAGGTTTAAGGCACATGTAACATGGTCTTTATTTTTCAGAATAACTCTGGCAGTTGTTATTTTTCATTAAAGAAATACCTTTCTTTCAGATCTTAATTCTTCTCTTCCACAAGCCTTAAATATGCAATGCATATTATTTATTACATGACTGAAATATGCAATGAATTCAACAATAAAGTTCTTTCAGTCAGGTTAAGCAAACAGCACTTGAGGATGACTATCAACAAGTTATGATCTATTGCACAAGTACAGTAGGAAACAAATCAGATATGATCAAGTCAATGATAAATTCTTATGCAAATCCTCCGAAAATACCCAGTTTGTTGTTTAAAGAGCGTTTCATGCACAATGCTTACGCTATATGTTTGTGGCGGCAGCTACGTGGTACGTTAGACTATTAATACAGAAAATGTTCAACACCAGAATCTCTCAGTCAGGCCAATGACCTTCACAAAAGATCATTTCTGTAAGGTCGGAAGGTCATTTCCAAAAAACGGATATGACCTTGCTGTAACATCAGTATTCCCAGAATCAAAGTTGATCAGATTAATTAAACAGTTCTTTTGCAAATATTTTAGTCATGGTGATCTTGAAATTCCAATACCATGGTTTGGTTAGTGTGAGAACATGGATGATAATGCTTCACACTTTGTAGATCCTCCTTCTGGTCCTCCAACTGACAAGAATCTGGGTTAGAGAGTATCTGTACTCATCCTTAGCCTCGTCCCAGCCTGTCCAAGAGATCTGGTGTCCAATATGGCTGTAGTTGTGGTTTATGCAGAGATCGCCACCTACAGGAGAGAAATGAAAACTGATTGCAAGTGTCCAATAACAAAACTATGTAAGTGAAACAAGGAAACAAAGTCATGAATATGCCTCCCTGGAGCTGTATTTAAGAATTTAATCAATAAAGTCACTGGTGGAAATCAGACACGTAACCGGTAATACCTCTTGAATTACATGCTATTTGTTTTGCCTTTGGGTATGTTTTTTTTTTTCTTAAAAAATCTAAAATCTAGCAAGAAAACAGCGTTATCACTATCCCTCTCTATGCGGCACATTAGATTGATTTTTGTTTGTTCATGTGGTAGTGAATATACATGGAAAAAGGAAAGTAACTCCTGAACAAAAACATCAGGGCATCAGTCTTGTCAAGATCACTGGAACTTTTTGTGAATGGCCAAATTGGAAGCACTAAAAAACCCACTGCGAGGACGTAGGCTGGTTTGGGTGCCACTTGTAAATTGTGGTCTGTGGTTGTTTTTTTTACCTTTCACCATATACCATATACTAGAACACTAGAACGAATCTGATTTTTACGTTATGCCCTGGTAATGAAAGTAACCTGTATTTGGTTTAAGTCCAACTAGTTGCCAAGGAAACAGCAAAAGGCACCAGTTCAGCATGTGTTTGATACATATGCAAAGTTTCATCATTAAATATTACACAAAACGTGATGAACAGACGGACAGCACCCATTCCTACATCCTCATCCCACTTGTAGGTGGGAGATAATAGACATCATTGAATATACAGGTACATATTCACTGGCCCTCATTGTTGCATATCATTAAGATATGTATAACAAGATGCTGGTCACCAGGCCGGAATGCTGGAGTTATATTTTGGCTAGACTAATGAGTCTATGCATAGTTCAATCTATTGGTATAACAAACTAGACATCTGGTTCATAAACAACATGGATTTCAACATGCAATTTTCGGTCAAACAAAACAAGAACATGTGTACTGTCACAACTGGGCGTGGACAGATATTTTCAAAATATTTTCATTTTTTAATCAAGGTGCTCAAGTGATTTCGATATACTTCATGAGGTATGACCAGTTTTATTGCAAGGAAGATCTTGATTATCGATCAGATCATCTTATATGTGATATGAGGGAGGAATCTGACTGGTGAATAGGGGGGACATAGAAGATAACTTGTAATAACCACTGGTGGCGCTACGATCAAGCCACCAGATTCCAGCCTAGTTTGGCAAGTTTGGAAACCAGTCTTTTATAGTCTGTTAACTCCCTTGCCTTGGGAAGATGGTGGTCAGGAGTTATCTTATACCAAGTGCTGACTAGACGCCTGTGGTATACATAGACAACACTCTGGTGTATAGATATATACATATACCTATTTCTCATAATTAATGCTGTCAAACAAAAAGCTCCTGATCCGTACACTTGACAGCTGTGCAATGTGGTTGTGCTTATTTCATGTTAATGTTCGACCAAACTGGGACTCCACAGAAAACATAATAACATTTTAAGACAGGCTTCACTACCCTTATTCTACTTGATCTGTACAACCATCATATTCTAGAAAACAACTTCACCCCCATCTTCTTAAAGCAAGGAGTTAACTGAATATAAAAGTCTAGTTTGCACCCTTGCTGTACAAGGCTGGAATTTCTTAAACATATTTTGGCTTGAGTAACAAGTCTATGCATAGTCCAATCAAATTTGCGTAAACAACATCATGGCAACTGCTGTGCAGATTTTGCTCGAATGTCTACTGTCGACATATAATTTCCAATTCTTTTCATGTTTATAATCCACATGTGCATGTGTTGTGCTACAATCCACATGCACTGGGTGTCTGAGACAGGAACTGTGAAGCTTTTTTTCTATTACCTTGATCTGATTATCTTGACTGGGCACTGCCATATTGTGCAGGCCAAATACAAGTTATTAAGAGGTGGAATCTTATGGGTTAATAGAAAGTACATAAAAGGGTCATAACTCATTACAGCCACAAAATTCCAGTCTAGTTCAGCAAGGGAGGAAACTGGACTTATATAGTCAGTTAACTCCCTTGGCCCTGGTAGATGCTTCACCTCAGACGATCCACGACTGGAACATTGTCCAGCTGGTGTGTGGGGGCCACTTACCTCGAAGGCTGCTGACTTCCCCCCTTCCTTGATGACTGTCAGTGGGGTGAACACCTTGGGCCTGGTCTTCATGTAGTCCTGGAAAACAGGAATAAGGCCACGATATAGAGACTATTTGTGAGGATAAAGCCATTTTGAGAAATAACAATATTTGTCATTATTAAAATTGTTTCAGTGGGACATGATGTCATAGTTTAGGGTATGTATTTCTTCAGAGGCTTTAGCTAGGCAGTAGTTAGATTCCTTGCAACTTAGCTCACTTGTACTTCCCTGTAATATTTGTAAGAAAAGACAATAAAAGTAATAATACATAATAGCAGAACTTTTGGTCACAGCAGGATCAAAAATAAAGACACACCCAAATACAAACTAGGTATGTTTATTTCTAATATCAAATTTCATAACAATACATATAATAAGGGCTGAGTGAAAGGCAAAACTGACAGATTCAATATGGCTGCCATGTCAGCCATGTTTAAAATCATTCTCTAAGCAATTTTACATTTACCATGGATTATTTATTCAGAACTTTCAGTACAGGTGAGATAGATGAGTATTCTAAACAAAACTATTTAAGAGAGAGAATGAGATATTATTTCTAGGTCAACATGTCATCAGGGAAAATTCATCTAGCCCATAAAGCAAGTATTGGATACGAGGTACTTATTGTAGCAAGAGCACATTTAGATCCATAAAATTACTCCCCTTTGATTCCTGACTTCAGATAGAACCAGGAAGCTTTACAGTGAACAATAACACATAATGTAGCAGTGAGTGAGTGAGTGAGTGAGCGAGTGAGCGAGTTGGATTTTACACCACTATCAGCCATATTCCAGAGTTGTACACCATCAGCTTGGCCATCTTGGGAATCCAACCTTGACATTACGAGTGAACACTTTAACTGCTAGACTACCCCACCGCCCAATGTAACAGCAACAACCCTGGTACAATCACTGCTTAGCTTACATGTGCACGAGGGAAACCGTTCTTCTTCTCATCTGGAGATGCACCGGAGCCGATCCAGATGAAGACATCTGAAGGGGTGTCGAGGAGGAACACATCCTGTAATATTGAACAGGATCATAACACCACAGTCACCATTCTCCTGGCTTTTGTTTGTTTGTTTGTTGTTTAAACGCCACACTTAGCAATATTCCCGCTGTATGACGGCGGTCTGTAAATAATTGAGTTTGGAACAGACAATCCATTGATTGACATCATGAGCATCGATCTACGCAATTGGGACACGATGTCAAGCTTCAACCAAGTCAGCGAGCCTGACCACCCAATCCTGTTAGTCACCTCTTACTACAAGTATAGTCATCTCTTGCGGCAAGCATGGGTTGCTGAAGACCTATTCTAACCCAGATCTTCACCGCCCCCAATCTCCTGTGACACCTTTCTCACACAAATCATGGGGTGGTGTAATGATGAGGGAGTCAAACCTGGGACTCTGCTGGACCAACCAACACACCAACTACTAGGCTATCCTAGATCTCCCTTTCAAAATATGACCTCCTGTTGAGAGAAAGTTTCTTTGTGACTTGAAATGTGATAAACTCATTAATTAGTGACTGAAATATCTGGTGATATTCTAGCTCTAAAAACATGCTACAGTTAAGATGACTGACAGATAAACATCTTCCTAAGTAACTTAAGGCAGAGTCTTGCTGAGTGTGCGACTTACCTCAGAAACAAAGTCATCTTTACTGATATCTCCTGTCTTGACTTCATCAAAGGTACCTTCAGCATTCAGTCTGGAGAGGAACAGACACATCATTGCACACACATCAATATACTGTCAAGACATATTCCCTAGGTGATGTCCAATCCCTCTTTCACTGATGTTGTCTACAGGAATAGGAAGAGTGACATTGCACACACATCAATATACTGTCAAGACATATTCCCTAGGTGATGTTCAATCCCTCTTTCACTGATGTCGTCTACAGGAATAGGAAGAGTGACATTGCACACACATCAATATACTGTCAAGACATATTCCCTAGGTGATGTTCAATCCCTCTTTCACTGATGTCGTCTACAGGAATAGGAATGGCGGCGCCTTAGATGACTGGGCCACCCGTGCCCCCCCAATCAAGTGTGACTGAAGGGGATTTGACATCTTGTTCACCAGCAATCACCCATTTCATACCTCTCGCTGTTAAGAACTGACAAACCCTTTAAAATGGCAGATGGGATAGTCAACAGCATAGCAGCTGCTTGCTGGGTGTATCAGGACTGGAGCAATGATTCAGTCGAGGTGAAATTGGGTCTAATATGTGTGGCTACTGGTATTATGCCTGACTTATGCCAGTTTTACAGTGCCAGCCAACTTATACCGCAATCATTTATGTTGTTGAACGACACACGATCATCAGAACATTTTGACGACCATATCACCAGTTTAGTCGGCCCTATTTCCATATAAAGGCTCCAGATAAAACAGGTCAAACAAAACATAGTATATGCCTGTCATCCTTCATATTCAACCTAAAGAAACATATTTCAGAATGCAGACGAGCATTGCTTAATCCTGCCAAGTTCTGCTTCACCTACTTCAAGAGTTTCTTGTCTCCATCCCCATCGTCCTCGTCATCACTGTCATCGTCAATATCATCCTCAGACAGTGCATCGAAAAACTCAGGCTGCAACATGAAAAGTTATAAGATCAGTGATCAAGACTGACTCACCCAATAATACAATCTGTGATACAGTACTGAGTCACCAGAAAAGACAATCTGTGATGCAGCACGAGTCCCCCGAAAATTTGTGATACAGCAATGAGTCACCAGACAATCTGTGATACAGCACTGAGTCACCTGACAAGACAATCTGTGATACAGTACTGAGTCACCTGACAAGACAATCTGTGATACAGCACTGAGTCACCTGACAAGACAATCTGTGATACAGTACTGAGTCACCTGACAAGACAATCTGTGATACAGTACTGAGTCACCAGACAAGACAATCTGTGATACAGTACTGAGTCACCAGACAAGACAATCTGTGATACAGCAATGAGTCACCAGACAAGACAATCTGTGATACAGTACTGAGTCACCAGACAAGACAATCTGTGATGCAGCACGAGTCACCTGACAATCTGTGATGCAGCAATGAGTCACCAGACAATCTGTGATACAGTACCTGAATAACCAGACAAGACAATCTGTGATACAGTACCGAATAACCAGACAAGACAATCTGTGATACAGTACTGAGTCACCAGACAAGACAATCTGTGATACAGCACTGAGTCACCTGACAAGACAATCTGTGATACAGCAATGAGTCACCAGACAAGACAATCTGTGATACAGTACTGAGTCACCAGACAAGACAATCTGTGATACAGTACTGAGTCACCTGACAAGACAATCTGTGATACAGTACTGAGTCACCAGACAAGACAATCTGTGATACAGCAATGAGTCACCAGACAAGACAATCTGTGATACAGTACTGAGTCACCAGACAAGACAATCTGTGATACAGTACTGAGTCACCTGACAAGACAATCTGTGATACAGCAATGAGTCACCAGACAAGACAATCTGTGATACAGTACTGAGTCACCTGACAAGACAATCTGTGATACAGTACTGAGTCACCAGACAAGACAATCTGTGATACAGTACCTGAATAACCAGACAAGACAATCTGTGATATAGTACCGAATAACCAGACAAGACAATCTGTGATACAGTACTGAGGCACCAGACAAGACAATCTGTGATACAGCACTGAGTCACCTGACAAGACAATCTGTGATACAGTACTGAGTCACCTGACAAGACAATCTGTGATACAGTACTGAGTCACCAGACAAGATAATCTGTGATACAGCAATGAGTCACCAGACAAGACAATCTGTGATACAGTACTGAGTCACCAGACAAGACAATCTGTGATACAGTACTGAGTCACCTGACAAGACAATCTGTGATACAGCAATGAGTCACCAGACAAGACAATCTGTGATAGAGTACTGAGTCACCTGACAAGACAATCTGTGATACAGTACTGAGTCACCAGACAAGACAATCTGTGATACAGCACTGAGTCACCAGACAAGACAATCTGTGATACAGTACTGAGTCACCTGACAAGACAATCTGTGATACAGCACTGAGTCACCAGACAATACAATCTGTGATACAGCACTGAGTCACCAGACAAGACAATCTGTGATACAGCAATGAGTCACCAGAAAAGACAATCTTTGATACAGCAATGAGTCACCAGACAAGACAATCTGTGATACAGTACTGAGTCACCAGACAAGACAATCTGTGATACAGTACTGAGTCACCAGACAAGACAATCTGTGATACAGCACGAGTCACCAGACAAGACAATCTGTGATACAGTACTGAGTCACCAGACAAGACAATCTGTGATACAGTACTGAGTCACCAGACAAGACAATCTGTGATACAGTACTGAGTCACCAGACAAGACAATCTGTGATACAGTACTGAGTCACCAGACAAGACAATCTGTGATACAGCACGAGTCACCAGACAAGACAATCTGTGATACAGTACTGAGTCACCAGACAAGACAATCTGTGATACAGCACTGAGTCACCAGACAAGACAATCTGTGATACAACATGAGTCACCAGACAAGACAATCTGTGATACAGCACGAGTCACCAGGCAAGACAATCTGTGATACAGCAATGAGTCACCAGACAAGACAATCTGTGATACAGCAATGAGTCACCAGACAAGACAATCTGTGATGCAGTACTGAGTCACCTGACAAGACAATCTGTGATACAGCACTGAGTCACCTGACAAGACAATCTGTGATACAGTACTGAGTCACCTGACAAGACAATCTGTGATACAGTACTGAGTCACCAGACAAGACAATCTGTGATACAGCACTGAGTCACCGAACAAGACAATCTGTGATACAGTACTGAGTCACCAGACAAGACAATCTGTGATACAGCACGAGTCACCCAACAATCTGTGATACAGTACTGAGGCACCAGACAAGACAATCTGTGATGCAGCACGAGTCACCTGACAAGACAATCTGTGATGCAGCACGAGTCACCTGACAATCTGTGATGCAGCAATGAGTCACCAGACAATCTGTGATACAGTACCTGAATAACCAGACAAGACAATCTGTGATACAGTACCAAATAACCAGACAAGACAATCTGTGATACAGTACTGAGTCACCAGACAAGACAATCTGTGATACATCACTGAGTCACCTGACAAGACAATCTGTGATACAGCAATGATTCACCAGACAAGACAATCTGTGATACAGCAATGAGTCACCAGACAAGACAATCTGTGATACAGTACTGAGTCACCAGACAAGACAATCTGTGATACAGTACTGAGTCACCAGACAAGACAATCTGTGATACAGTACTGAGTCACCTGACAAGACAATCTTTGATACAGCAATGAGTCACCAGACAAGACAATCTGTGATACAGCACTGAGTCACCAGACAAGACAATCTGTGATACAGTACTGAGTCACCAGACAAGACAATCTGTGATACAGCATGAGTCACCAGACAAGACAATCTGTGATACAGTACTGAGTCACCAGACAAGACAATCTGTGATACAGCACTGAGTCACCAGACAAGACAATCTGTGATACAGTACTGAGTCACCAGACAAGACAATCTGTGATACAGTACTGAGTCACCTGACAAGACAATCTGTGATACAGCACTGAGTCACCAGACAAGACAATCTGTGATACAACATGAGTCACCAGACAAGACAATCTGTGATACAGCACGAGTCACCAGGCAAGACAATCTGTGATACAGCAATGAGTCACCAGACAAGACAATCTGTGATACAGTACTGAGTCACCTGACAAGACAATCTGTGATACAGCACTGAGTCACCAGACAAGACAATCTGTGATACAGCACGAGTCACCAGACAAGACAATCTGTGATACAGCACGAGTCACCAGACAAGACAATCTGTGATACAGCAATGAGTCACCAGACAAGACAATCTGTGATACAGTACTGATTCACCAGACAAGACAATCTGTGATACAGCACTGAGTCTCCAGACAAGACAATCTGTGATACAGCACGAGTCACCAGACAAGACAATCTGTGATGCAGCACGAGTCACCAGACAAGACAATCTGTGATACAGTACTGAGTCACCAGACAAAACAATCTGTGATACAGCGCGAGTCACCAGACAAGACAATCTGTGATACAGTACTGAGTCACCAGACAAGACAATCTGTGATACAGTACTGAGTCACCAGACAAGACAATCTGTGATACAGCACGAGTCACCAGACAAGACAATCTGTGATACAGTACTGAGTCACCAGACAAGACAATCTGTGATACAGTACTGAGTCACCTGACAAGACAATCTGTGATACAGTACTGAGTCACCAGACAAGACAATCTGTGATACAGTACCGAATAACCAGACAAGACAATCTGTGATACAGCACTGAGTCACCAGACAAGACAATCTGTGATACAGCACTGAGTCACCAGACAAGACAATCTGTGATACAGTACTGAGTCACAAGACAAGACAATCTGTGATACAGCACTGAGTCACCAGACAAGACAATCTGTGATACGGCACGAGTCACCAGACAAGACAATCTGTGATACAGTACCGAATAACCAGACAAGACAATCTGTGATACAGTACTGAGTCACCAGACAAGACAATCTGTGATACAGTACTGAGTCACCAGACAAGACAATCTGTGATACAGTACCGAATAACCAGACAAGACAATCTGTGATACAGCACTGAGTCACCAGACAAGACAATCTGTGATACAGTACTGAGTCACCAGAAAAGAATATCTGTGATACAGTACCGAATAACCAGACAAGACAATCTGTGATACAGTACCGAATAACCAGACAAGGCAATCTGTGATACAGCACTGAGTCACCAGACAAGACAATCTGTGATGCAGCACGAGTCACCCAACAATCTGTGATACAGTAACGAGTCAACAGACAATCTGTGACAAACTGCTCTTAACCTGGGCCATGTCTAGGCCTACTGTGGTACATTGCTACGCCGATATACTATCAACAGGCCTACTGTGGTACATTGCGACGCTGATATACTATCAACAGGCCTACTGTGGTACATTGCGACGCTGATATACTATCAACAGGCCTACTGTGGTACATTGCGACGCTGATATACTATCAACAGGCCTAATGGTCCTGTTCCAGCACTGTTAAGCCACCAATGTCTGTGGTGGCGTGTAAACACGTCACTTCGAGCTCAATTTACAAATATATTTGGTCAACCCTATAATCTGCAACTCATTTAGTAGACAATTCATTATTCTCTTCAAATCTGCATTCCAACCTAAATTACAAATCACATGGTAAGGTATGAATGTATATACAAAGACATGGAGCTGCCAGTCTGCCCGAACCCCTTTAACAGGTTTATGCACCAAGTGACATAGGATCTCTCCCCTTCATAATATGTGGCCAACCAGGGGAAAAGGGACCCAATGGTTGCTAGGAAACAACTGTGCTGTGACGTCATAGAGGGACGTTTGATGTCAACTTACTTCTGCAAAAAATGGTGCGGACTGTGCAAAAATATCTTATTTTTCTCTCATTAGTTTGTAATGTAATAAAAACATTTCAAAACATTTCAGCATACACGTCTACATTTAATTAATCAGACATTATATGTAAAACCTGCAATTATTACATAAACAGTTAAAAGTCTGGACTTTGCAGAAAAGGAATCTAAAGGTTTGAGGTCATGTATCTCTGTAATAAATGTGAGTGAGTGAATTGGGTTTAAAGCCGCTTTTAACATTATTCCAGTTTATCACAGCGTGCCAGCTTAATGTGGAAAGAAAGCCCAAAGTGATGAGGGTCTCCGACGTTTACATAATGGGGACGAACGAGGATTCAAACCAAAAATTATAGGTTTCTATCGCAGCGCCTTAGACGCCTGGGCCAACTGTGCTCCCGTAATAAATATGACTTGAAGCTTGTGAGTTGTATATTTGTATTCCTAAAATACTGTAGTTTTAACATGTAATGAGAGTCAAAATGTGATGTTTCCACTATAAGGTCCCTTATCTTCCACTTGGTCACATATGAACAAGCTACCAATCTCACAGCCAGAGTTGAGCTGAGAGTTAACAGTGCATTATCTCCCCTTTAGGTTCTACTACACCAAATCAGAACCAGTTTGGACAGTGCGGTTTTCGTAGGGAACCTTCAGTGCAGAACGAGAAATATCTGCAGGCTGTGATTGGAGGATATTCTGTAAGATTTTTATGTCTTTCAAATGAACATCCATCCAGTTATTAAAACTGACCATGTTTTTCTATATTTAGTACTGTCTTTTTCAACATGATGTCTTATGCTGAATGTGACCACAGCTATTTTCAAGTAGGTGACATTTGGTGCAAAACTGGGGGTGGTGTGTTTAGCTTCCTGTACTCGGAAAAGGAGCTGGCTAAGCTAGTCATTTTTTATTTTTTTGTTGCTGCTCTAAGGCCAAACTGTGCACACGCATACAGGTAATAGCTGTTTAAAAAAAATATAACGTTACTATAGAAGTCTATGGGAAAACATTTGGTTGTGTGTAACCTGTACCACCTGACTATTCATTTACCGCGGAGTGAACATAGCCATCAGTTGCTGTCTACTGATATAGTCTGCATCCTAGATAACCAAGTATTATTGCTAGTGCTTTGCTTTCATGAAGTCAGCAAGGTTTTACATGATGCACACGTGGTCGTCTAGTACGCACAAATGTAGAGAATGGATGCAGAAAAATATATACTTGCTCCCGACTCCTGAGTGCCACATAATAATATTCAGTGTAGCTACATCACATCAAGAGCAGTGTTTGGTAGCTGGTATTTCATCAACAATCAGGACCACTGTCCACATAATCACTGATTCATTCCAGGCTCTAAATTAATTATCTGAACGTACAGTTCACTACACCATTCCATCACTTTACAGCACCCTCATATTGCCGGCAAGGACTCTCAACATAAATTATTGGGAGTCCCCTGGACCCCCACTTTTGTAAGGCAAGGCAAATTCCTGGTCAGGCTTTTATCTCTTATATTTACGGGAAATAATCTGTGAGATATATTTGTGAATGCTGAAGTCTTAACTCACACATCCATCACCCTCGTCAATGACAGTGTCATCACTGGATCCTCTCTCGTTCTTCAGTTTACCCAGGAACTCCATCGCCTGCAAACACCAACGTCCTTATTATCAACATCACCACATCATCATCATCATCATCATCATCATCATCATCATCATCATTGCCATCATCATCAACATCACCACATCATCATCATCATCATCATCATCATCATCATCATTGCCATCATCATCAACATCACCACATCATCATCATCATCATCATCATCATCATCATCATCATGAATACATGCATTGACAAAGTGACTTGCTAATCATCTGAAGTCAACTGCAAAAGTTGTGTTGTATTCCTCCTGGTCTACAATCAGCACCAGCAGCCTCACACTACTGCAATCAGATAACTGTGGGATGATCCAGCAATAGGCTCAACAATCAGGGACATAATACTACACAAACATACTTTCTTCCAGTCAACTCACTTTGGACTTCTCCATAATGTTACATCCACTGCCATTGTATTGGATAAACCTCTTGCCAAGGTCAAGGATGTACACATCACCAGTCCTGAGAGATTTCTTGCTGAGGGGCACCTACAAGACAAATTGGCACTGATAATTGGAACGACATTTCCTGTAAGGAAGAGAATTTATGGATGTCAACTTATTATGAGGAACACAACGTTTCAGAGTGTAAACTTACTCCCTCATCAAGTAAATTGAAGAATTCTCCTGATGAAGGAGTAAGTATATACTCCAACACATTGTGTTCCTCAAAATAAAGTTCACATCGATACATTCTTTTCCTTATGTGTATCACCTCTGAATGACATTCAAAGACTTAAAATTGACGATATATATCAAAGTATGTCAGCTTAATGTAGGAAGAAGCCAAAATTGATGCAGGTCTAGATGTCTGCCATTCGGGTGAAACCCACAAGCATATGTGTGACGCATACATGGGCGAGGCACATTCGTGTTTAACGTCGCATTCAAAATTATTGCACTTACATAACGACATGCATGCATGTGTTTGTGTGTGTGTGGCTGCTTGTACAAGTCCGACTAATGCTGATATTATAGTGCCAGCCCACTGAGATACCATGCCGCAGTTTAACATGAATACCCCATTCAGACTGACTCCGAGCCGACCAGTCCTTGTTTTATCCCCTAAAATACTGATCATCGCAGAGTAACATCTCTAAAAGTTTTCTGGCATGGCACGGCCGGGGATCCAAAATCTGACCTTCCACTTCCCAGATAGATGTTCCACCACTAGACCACGATGGTGGTCGACGAATATATAGACCGTAATGAGTCAAACCTTGGACTTGAACACAAGATCATCAGATCCTGGCACGTTTACAGTGCCTCAGCATTTATACATTGCTGCACTCCTTTAGAAATTAATGTGAAATTAAAGTCCCACCAGGCCCCAGCTCTTTCATCAACTTTCTAAGATAGAGGATCCATGGCAACTGTCCAAGTAGAATTCACTCACCTCCCTGACAGAGATGTTTCTTCCTTTCCCATTGAAGTGAAGGAGGCGAGGTTCGTAGGTCTCTGGCTCCACATGGTTGAAGCCGGATTCGGCTCCACCCTCCATCGTCCTGTAGAATAGATATAACAAATGAGAAACACACAGGAAGAAGGCAGAGTTGACAAACACTTTGTTAGTTGAACCTAAAACCCTGCACATCAGCAAAATGTGGGAATCTAATTTCTCATATATCATGACTTCATAAAACCGCAAATGCTTATGTTACAAATGATATACTGTAAATCCTGAAATTAACATGAGCGTGAATTAAATATGAAATATCAACAATAAGACGGCCTCACTGCACACTTTGGATAGCGGAAATACCAACTTGAATATAAACAAAAACACGGTTTATTTAGCAGCACTTGAAACAAGTACATAACAATGTCATTCAAAGAATAGGAGTTACACAATAGGCATCTGGTGAGTTATCACTGCTGGGGTCAAGAGTTCTACCCACTTGTGTCAAACTAGGCATCATTGACCACTCCAATCAGTGAACTGATGTTGGTTCAATTGTGTTATTGCCTTTGAACTTCCTTAATGGCAGTCAACAGAATAAACTTATAAACTGTGTTTTGATTTTAGAAAACACTATTTATTGTTATAACGGCAGTGCTATACTCAGTGCTAATAAGCGGTGCTATTTGTGTTAGATTGGGTTACGGTAACGATTTGTATCATTCCACTTGGGATGAGGTGGGGAGGGTCGCATTGATTCTGAGTCGCATTTTTGGCGAAGGGACAACAGTTTTATTAATTTGGAGACGCATTAATTTCAAGATTTATAGTAACACGTTTTCTGTAACAGAAGAATATCACTAATTCCATTATCACTTTGGATCACAAATACAGCTTCGAGTCACTATTGACCACTTTATTCTTCCATAGTTTACTTGCTTCTTGTTTAGCGCCGCACTCAGCACTTTTACAGCCTTATCGGAGTGGCCAGTATATAATAAAGTCTGTACTAGGCATTCCCATGATTGAAAACAGGAGCAACGATCCATGTGGTCAGGGTACAATGTCACCAGTTATTACATCAGCAAGCATAGGAATCCTCACAGGACCTGAAGTTTGGTTTACACCTTTGAACAATAAGTTACTATGGTAGCGGGGTAGTTTTCACAACAAACTAATAAATGTAAAATAACAGTCATCCATACAACAGAAACCCAGTGTTCAGAAACTGTTGTATAAAAATAGTGATCAACATACATTATGCCAGCAGGGAAGTAGGACTTGAAGAGGGATGATTCATGACCTTGAACTTCACGATGCTGTACAGGAGCATCGTCCAAGAATGTGTCAAGTTCAACAGTCTTGTAGGCAACGGTTCCATATTCATCCTGGAGAGGAATCATGTATTACAAGTCTGTGTTTGAAATAATTATAAAATCCAACAAGACATACCTTCTCAGTTAAGAATACATGACACTTTTTATGCATAACAACTTGTATCATTCTTTGTATAAAAAGTGTCATGTATTCATGTTCTTCCAACTTCTAAATGCCCATCAATTTTCATCCAAGGTCAGACACTCTGTCCACATGACAAAAGAGGTTAACCCCCTCAACAAGGATGTGATGGGATTTGAATCACTAATTTCATTAAAATCTGATCTTGCAACCGGTTAGCAAAGATCTGAGGACACGACGTCAGACCGACCTTGTGTGAACTTTGACCGACCAATGGAATGACTGACAAGAAGTCGACATTAGCCAATCAGAAGGCAGCTTTCTCACGCTTTACGGCACTAATTTCAAATTGGCGACTACGCTTCAATACATATTTTGACAAATTCTCGATTAAAAATTTGAAATCTGAACTAAAGAACATTCTGGAATGGCTAATAGATGGTCTAGATTGTATTGATTCAGTTGTTAAGGCCGTAACTATCGTTGGGAATACCCCATGTGAAAGTTTTTGATGTTGCATGATTAGAAATCACATTCCAACTGTCACTTTCATGATCTGGTAAGCGATGGTAAGAGATTGTTTGAATTCCAGCAATGTCACGGTGGGGGACACCAGAAATGGGCTTCACACATTGTACCCATGTCAGGAATCGAACCTGGGACTTCGGCATGACGATCGAACGCTCTAACCACTAGGCTCCCCGATCACCCCACACGACCAAAGAGGTTAACCCCCTCAGTAAGCTGATAAGGTAAGGATGTGATGGGATTTGAACACTGACCTTCATAGTCATAGGCTTGTCTATTTTTCTCTTCATATTTTTTTTAAACATTTGAAAGAGAATACTGTTTACTTAGGGATTAGATATCAAATTAACATAATGAGTGAGTTGAGTTTAACACCGCTTTTAACAGTATTCCAGTTATATTACAGCGTGTCAGCTTAATGTGGGAGGAGAGCCTGAAGTGATTCAGGTCTCAGACGTTTAACACTTCAGTGAAACCCACGAGCACGGGTATGGTGCTGACAAACCTAGAAACATAATCAGGGTGAACCAGGATTCGAACCCACAATCATAGGTTTCTGGAGTACCCAAGGAACGCAACTCTGCAAAGCGAATCACGGTGTCTTAAACTGGGCCACCTGTGCCCCCTTAACATAATGACCAACATTCACGTGCAGAATTACTATGACACCATTTTCCCAAATGCAAAACAACAGAGTTCTACATTTCCATTCCATAGTTCTTATCAAGGTCTACCTGAGTGCTGTTCTTGCCGATCCAGAAATGGACATCAAATTTGAGTTCCTCCGTCTCCTCCTCCTTGTATGTCTGAAGCACAAGAGAACAGGGTGGGTCACATCTCGCCTCATGCCACAGCATCACTTCAAGTATTCCAAGCTACATGTTTTCTCCACACTGCCATGGAACAAATCCATTGGGGTGAAAATTAATATCTGTATGAGTGCGTAAGAGACTGATCATAAATGATACATTTCCTCAGTGAGTTTTCCAAAAGGTCCTCCTCCTAAAATAATGTCCTATCCTTAGCAACCCAACCCAAATGCTTATCCAGATTATCATGACCTTTCTCAAGGCCCCAAATGAGCCAGCTGATGCAAGCGAGAGAATGTGTTTGGTTTAATGTTGAACAATATTTAGTTACATGATGGCATGTCAGGTTAATATGGGAGGTAAGCCTTAAGAGATGCACATCTCAGAATTTTCCACGTTGCAGAAACCCGTGTGCACGGCTGTGCTACCTGATAAACCTAGACACATAATCAAGGTGAATCTTGGATTCCTACCCCTGATCATAGGTTCCTGGCATGCCAAAGGGATGCAACTCTGAAAAGCAGATTTTGAGCCAAAAGATCACAGTGGCCCCTGAGTTTGGATGACACCTAGCTACTCACAATGAGGATAACGCACCTATAGATGACAGCTAGTGGCTTCTGAGTTTGGATGACACCTAGCTACTCACATTGAGGATGATGCACCTATAGATGACAGTGGCCCCTGAGTTTGGATGACACCTAGCTACTCACAATGAGGATGACGCACCTATAGATGACAGCTAGTGGCTTCTGAGTTTCGATGACACCTAGCTACTCACAATGAGGATGACGCACCTATAGATGACAGCTAGTGGCTTCTGAGTTTCGATGACACCTAGCTACTCACAATGAGGATGACGCACCTATAGATGACAGCTAGTGGCTTCTGAGTTTCGATGACACCTAGCTACTCACAATGAGGATGACGCACCTATAGATGACAGCTAGTGGCTTCTGAGTTTCGATGACACCTAGCTACTCACAATGAGGATGACGCACCTATAGATGACAGCTAGTGGCTTCTGAGTTTCAATGACACCTAGCTACTCACAATGAGGATGACGCACCTATAGATGACAGCTAGTGGCTTCTGAGTTTGGATGACACCTAGCTACTCACATTGAGGATGATGCACCTATAGATGACAGTGACTTCTGAGTTTCGATGACACCTAGCTACTCACAATGAGGATGACGCACCTATAGATGACAGCTAGTGGCTTCTGAGTTTCGATGACACCTAGCTACTCACAATGAGGATGACGCACCTATAGATGACAGCTAGTGGCTTCTGAGTTTGGATGACACCTAGCTACTCACAATGAGGATGACGCACCTATAGATGACAGCTAGTGGCTTCTGAGTTTCAATGACACCTAGCTACTCACAATGAGGATAACGCACCTATAGATGACAGCTAGTGGCTTCTGAGTTTGGATGACACCTAGCTACTCACATTGAGGATGATGCACCTATAGATGACAGTGGCCCCTGAGTTTGGATGACACCTAGCTACTCACATTGAGGATGATGCACCTATAGATGACAGTGGCCCCTGAGTTTGGATGACACCTAGCTACTCACACTGAGGATGATGCACCTATAGATGACAGTGGCCCCTGAGTTTGGATGACACCTAGCTACTCACATTGAGGATGATGCACCTATAGATGACAGGGGCCCCTGGGTTTGGATGACACCTAGCTACTCACATTGAGGATGACGCACCTATAGATGACAGTGGCCCCTGAGTTTCGATGACACCTAGCTACTCACACTGAGGATGATGCACCTATAGATGACAGTGGCCCCTGAGTTTCGATGACACCTAGCTACTCACACTGAGGATGATGCACCTATAGATGACAGTGGCCCCTGAGTTTGGATGACACCTAGCTACTCACACTGAGGATGATGCACCTATAGATGACAGTGGCCCCTGAGTTTGGATGACACCTAGCTACTCACACTGAGGATGATGCACCTATAGATGACAGTGGCCCCTGAGTTTCGATGACACCTAGCTACTCACATTGAGGACGATGTAGGAATCACCATTGTAGAAGCTGCCATAGTTTTTTTGGTCCCAGTCTTTGACTTCAAATTGCTGGGGACATAAAACATGGGGCAAATTATTACAAACAATGTACGACAAACTATGTAATCAAACCTTTACCACACAAATCCTAAATCATGATAATGCAACAATAATATTTAGTCTGTACATTTGCACATGCTTACATCTAATCATAATACAAACTACTGCCCTTCAATCTCCAACAAGTTCCATAGCAATCTACTGTTCTTAGAAAATTACTTGACATTATGTCGAATATAGCTTAGGAATCTGCATTGTTGCAAGGTACAGATGTTCTGAATACACTTGCAATATATTATTGCAAAGGTCTCACAATGACCATAATAACTATCATAATACTACTGCATTAGTCATCCCCTCCCCTCAGTGAACCCTGATTGTGTACTACCCGCATCAACCTCCCTCCTTGTGACACCTGATTGTGTCCTAGCTACCCCCCTCAACAACCCTAGTGACACCTGATTGTGCCCTACCCCCCTCAACACCCCTTGTGACACCTGATTGTGCCCTACCCCCCTCAACAACCCTAGTGACACCTGATTGTGTCCTACCCCCCTCAACAACCCTAGTGACACCTGATTGTGCCCTACCCCCCTCAACACCCCTTGTGACACCTGATTGTGCCCTACCCCCCTCAACACCCCTTGTGACACCTGATTGTGCCCTACCCCCCTCAACACCCCTTGTGAAACCTGATTGTGTCCTACCCCCCTCAACAACCCTAGTGACACCTGATTGTGCCCTACCCCCCTCAACACCCCTTGTGAAACCTGATTGTGTCCTACCCCCCTCAACACCCCTAGTGACACTTGAGTGTGTCCTATCCACCTCGACCCCCCCAAGTGAACCCTGAGTGTGTCCTACCCCCCTCGACCCCCCAAGTGAACCCTGAGTGTGTCCTACCCCCCTCGACCCCCCAAGTGAACCCTGAGTGTGTCCTACCCCCCTCAACACCCCTAGTGACACCTGAGTGTGTCCTACCTCCCTCAACACCCCTAGTGAACCCTGAGTGTGTCCCCCTAGTGACACCTGATTGTATCCTACCCACTTCGACCCCCCAAATGAACCCTGAGTGTGTCCTACCCCCCTCGATCCCCCAAGTGAACCGTGAGTGTGTCCCCCTAGTGACACCTGATTGTATCCTACCCACTTCGACCCCCCAAATGAACCCTGAGTGTGTCCTACCCACCTCGATCCTCCAGATCTTCAGGCCTGGCTCTTGCCCCGCTCCCTGCCATGCTGGTTCTGTCTCTGCCGACTCCTCTGGAATATGAAATAGATCCTGACAAAACTCTCACTAAGCAAGTCTTATCTAAATGCAATACAAGCTGGAGAAAGGCCAAGCTAGAGGAGAACTTCTTCAAATTTCAAACTTCGGATTTCAACTGCATTTAGGATGTAGTATCTTGCGGGGTGTCTAGATACTCGTGGCTACTGAATTTGGGGTAAACTGCTACATGTTCCATCTCAAATGCATTCATGCTGTAGTGTTTCATGAGGGTATCACGATGGGCCGACCTCACATGTCCATAATATCTCGATACTTGGGTCATGGCATGACACATATTTACTTAATTTGCACCACATTTGTGAAAAAACTTTGTGTAAACTTTTGTGTAATGAGTCATGTCAGAACGACCTTCAGTGAATTTTGACCAACCAATGGAATGACTGACAAGAAGTGGACATTTGCCAATCAGAAGGCAGCTTTCTCGTGCTTTACGGTACAAGTTTCAAACTGGTGACTATGCTTTGAAACATATTTTTCAAATTTCTCATAATTATTTTAATTAAAATTGAAAACGGATCACAGGAACATTCTGGAATTACCAATAGATGGCCTAGATGTATGGATTCAGTCGTAAAGCCCGTAACCAATAGATGGCCTAGATGTATGGATTCAGTCGTAAAGCCCGTAACTATCGTAACTGCCTTAACTATGACATCAAATTAAGGAGAGCCCCCCAATTTCATAAGAGTAACCTCCCTTTGAGAGCTTTTTCAAAATGGTGTACATTGGACAGCAAATGCTCCAGTTTTGGAGGCATTTAGTTGACAGTGGTTATGCTCAAATACCAGTGTGCACAACTATTCAAGATAAGAAAAGGTAATAACATAGCAAACATGGGACAATTCATGCAAAACTTAATTGTCCAGGTCTAAACAGTAATTAAAGAAATAATCCAATACATTTAAATATAAGCTTATGTTGAAAATACTTCTTTTTTTTACCTGTGAAATTGTAGCTATGTGATGCACTGCTTTATTATCCACACTTACTGGTCACTAATTTATCTGAATCCTTCGTATTGTTACACTCTTATAGAGTCCGGCACCGATAACCCTTTACAAGCACTGTAGAAGTCCACGTTGAAGAATATCTTGACATTTCATTATCCCCGTGTTATGGGTTTTCAGACGCTTAAGAAACATTCATACTTTTCTCTCTAATCACATGGAAACTGTAAAACACCCCATTCCTTTATAAAAACCTTTTTTCTTAAATACAAGTAATCATGTGAGTATTTACAACATCTGTGTGATGCTGCAACCCTGTTACAGTGCGAGTAACTGCGATAAACATGGCTGCAAAAAACTACGATGTCCGAAAAACTATGATACAACGATCATTCCAGTCCCAAACTAACTACTGGTGCCTTTAGTTCACTACTTTTCGATACAAAATGACTATTGTGGGTAATTGAAGGGAAAACCAACTGGAGGACTCTCCAGGCCCTGGCTACTATTGCTGCTTGTGGAGAGTTTCAGGGCAAAAACTAGTTCACATTACTTTTAGCAAACTACATTTGTAATAGAATTACATAAGAAGTTTTTATGGTGAAAAAAAATAAAATTTTGATATGAGAACCCTCAACAAAACTTGTAATGACCAACCATGCCTCCCTCGTAAATGAAAAACAAGTTTATGTGGACAAACTTGCAACCAGAATGACTGGATTAACAACATATGACAGTACATGTTTAGTCAGACTTACTTTTGACCTGCTTTTCCGTGTCGGAGCCAAAGAGGGCCATGTTGGAATCTTTCCAGTCATATTTCTTGGCTTTCACTAATCCTGCAAAATAACATGTTTGCACATACTGAGGCACAATTACATTGGACCAGTGTTTTACTTCTTGTACATGAAAAATAATGCCCATCATGATCCGGGTTAGAATAGGTCTTCAGCAACCCATGCTAATGCCGTAAAAGGCGACTATGCTTGTCGATTGCTCACTGACTTGATTGATGCATGTCATCGTATACCAATTGCATAGATCGATGCTAATGATGTCAATCACTGAATTGTCTGGTCAATTATTTACAGTCCACCTTCATATAGCTAGAATATTGCTGAATGTGGCATTAAACAACAAACAAACATCATGAGAAATAAATATAACAATTCCCTTACATCAACTAGGTCTACTGCCATCTCAAAATAAAAAGGCTTAAAATGAAAATAATTCAAAACTTCAAACATGATATCAATAATTAGTATATTTTCATGTTTTATCGCTTCCTAGTCCTTATAATATTATGGAGATATCAAATCTGGAAATTTCATCAAGAAACAGGACCACACAATATCTCAATATAATGTCACAAAGTTACAGCTAATTCAAAGTGCTAAAATGATGCTTAATGAAACAGGTGTGGGACGTGAAATTTACACTACGCATACAATCTCAATATTATCAATCTCCATAATTACATGATCAACATGATGAAGGTCATAGAGAACTACACACTATGAATGAGAGTTTACCTTTAGGCATGGTTGTGTCGGGGATGAAAGACTTCGCTCAAAACAGTTAACAAGAGAGCTGGAACAGAGAGACAAGTCAATCAAACATTTACTCTACACAGTCAACAACGAAATCAATGGTCAAACAAGAGCAGTTCCACGTTTAGGACTCACAGGGTACTCCGTCAAGTAGAGCCAGAGGTGTAGTGATACACCTGACCTCATTACGATGAAGTGACCACGCCCCCTCTGTCTGAGTGAGGTCACATGACGTTGATGGTGGATGTGGGCTGGTGAATGAATCACTAAGCAAACTGTCATTGAGGAACAAGCCCCGGGCTACACATTTCACACAGACGACACAGACAGTACAGAATCCCATCATTGCTCACACCTTGATGTGTGTCGCCAGAGTGCAAAACTCTTCATTTAGCTAGCTATTATGAAAACAGGGATTTCTGAACATGTGAGTGAGTGAGTGAGTGAGTGAGTGAGTGAGTGAGTGAGTGAGCGAGCGAGCGAGTGAGTTGGGATTAACGCCACTTTTAACAGTATACCATTTATATCACGGCGTGTGGGAGCTTCATGTGGGAGGAAAGCCCGAAGTGATGCAGGTCTCCGATGTTTACCACTTCGGTGAAACCCATAAGCACGGGTATGGTCCTGACAAACCTAGAATCATAATCAGGGTGAATCGGGATTCGAACCCACAATCATAGGTTTCTGGCGTGCCGAAGGGACGCAACTCTGCACAGCAAATCGCAGCGCCTTAGGCAACTGGGCCACCTGTGCCCCTGAGAGAATAAGTGAAGGAAATAGAAATATATCAAATATTTCAAAAACATATCAACATTAAAACAAAATATTCCCACGTTTAGTAAGCACACCACATATTTAGGCTCTATTGTGCTTCACTGACTTATCAAGTCCCATGTATTGCAGTAACCTGTAGTGTTCAGATGTCTGCCAATAAGTACCTGGGGGGGGGGGGGGCCTTGCAAGCGACGAATCGCTTAGAGTAAGCAAATTAATCGCTCATCTCGGGGTCTGCAACAGTTCGAAGCTCTTGCGCACCTCCAAAATGGCGTCGTAACTACCGGTTGGCTGCCTTGCCTTAATGAAGAACGTCATAGAAGAGGCTCGTTGACGAACTGATGAAAAATATAACTACTTTGAAGACGTGGAGCAGACTGAGGATGATGGGGTGTTAGCTGCCTTTGTTCATTTCCCCGTTTATCCAGTCAAGAATTCCTTGGTCAAAATCAGCCGCCATTTTGGTTTGAGAATAAAGCGACCTCAGCCAGCAATTGTTTCGCTTGCAAACGGCTGAAAGTTTAGCGCACTGTTGCACGCTTGCAAGCGATTGGTGCTTTGCACTGCACCCCAAGTGTGAACTCCACTTCAAGCCACCCTTTGCATCAGGAAGATATGATCATAACAATACCAACAACTGGCAGGGAACAGAGGCCACAAGGAAGTGTTCCTTGAAGATCCAAAAATTGCACATCAGTGATGCATCCTTAGATGTTGGAATTGTAGACACCTGACTCTTTTCACCCCCAAAATACATCAGAACTCACAACCATGAATTTCACAAAATGAATGAAAAGAATATTGCTTAGTTTGTTTGTTTGTTTGTTGTTTAACCCTAAATTCAGCAATATTCTAGCCATATGAGAGCGATCTGTAAAGAATCAAGTCTGGACCAGACAATCCAGTGATTGGCATCATGAGCATGAGCACCCATCTGATACGATGATGCGATGACATGCACTTACCAAGTCAGCGAGTCTGACCACCTGATCTTGTCAGTCGCCTCTTACGAAAAAGCATGGGTTGCTTTACCTGATTTTCATGCAGTTCATGAATTAACATGACAGCTTTTCTTTTGAAGACCCATATTCTACGGTTCAGAAAGGTTTGAACATGTGGTGAGTAATTTTCCCTGAGGGGTCAGTCTATCCAAGACATACCATGACACAACAGTTCGCCGTGAGGCAGTTACTTATGGATTTCATAATCGTGGGCATCAAAAGGAAAACTTTGTCAAGTTCATGACAAAAATGTCCAAATAGTCAGCTGTGAGGGATCAGTACTGATTTCTAGGGCGGGGACGAGTATAAGTTTACTACCTGGGTACCAGATCCCCATTGACTGACCCTACCTGGGTACCCACTGTAGGTCTCAAGATTGGGAATTGTTGGGATTGCCCTGGCCAAAACTATTCAGATACTTGCATAAAATGATTTGATTTATACTTACACTGATGTTGAAGTTAAATCTTTACTCAAACACATAAAAGTCAGAAGGAATGCGTGCATAATCAGAAAGATATGTGAACATTAGTGACTTGTAGTGTAAAATTAGTGTTCTCACTCCACAACTAACACTAACATGCAATGTTATATTTAATCTCACACGTAATTTACTTATTTGTTTTGTATATATCCATCCTGAAAATACTTCAGTAATAACAGACAATAGAATCCATAAGGATATAGAGTACTTAGATAAAAGCTTGCCTGCTGTGTTATATGAACATCCAGACTGCGAAATTATTCTTCCTGGTGACTATAATGCACGGTGTGGTAATTTGAAAGATTTTATTATCTACGACAACAACAGATTTATTACATGTTTAGAAGACATGGAGTATTATCGGACGTATTTGACGTGCACCGCAGTACCAGAGATGATGTGTGTAATGAATACGGGAGGGATCTAGTAGACTTTTGTTGTACGTTTTCTGTCCATATCGTAAATGGACGATTTGCTGGGGATAAGGAAGGATCATTTACTTGTTTTAAGGAGAGTGGCGCTAGTTTGGTTGATTATGTACTATGCTCAACTTGTTTATTTGACAACATTTCCAACTTTAGCATACATACTCGCTGTGAATCAGATAACTTTCCTATCATACTTACCCTACATGGATGTGATAGACAGGTCGGTAATGTTAATGAAATGCATGTAAATAATATCCCTAGATATACATGGAGAAATGAAATGTGATGCCTTTAAACATAATGTTTCTGAGTCATTGTCTGCACTTCACATGGAGGAGTTGATGCATTTATTGTCTTTGAATGTTGATTTAGCTGTTGAAGCTTTGACCAATGCTGTACATAATGGTTCTATTTCATGCGGATTACTTTCTAGAGCTAGAAAATCGAAACGTAAATCTGGAGAAAAATGGTACGATTTATGCAGGAAGAAAAGATTAGAATACGAAGAGACTTGTGTTCATGAACTTGTAGACAGTAGTGGAGATAGTAAAACATTCTGGAAAAAGATAAGTGCATTGACAAAGAAGACATGTTGTAGTCCTGTTTCCAACAAGATTTGCCAAGAAGATTGGTTTGATTACTGTGATACTTGTGGACTCGGATATTATTGAGCAAGTAGATGATGTTATAAATAATCATAATGAACAATTGTGATTTCTGTACTGATGATGATGTAAATAATATTCTTAATGGTGATATTACACAGGAAGAGATCGAATCCATAAGAGATCTGAAGCAGGGTAAGGCTGTGGGACCAGATGGTATTAAGGCTGAGATGATCAAATGTTGCAGTATTGTTTTATTTCCATATTTGTTAGTTATGTATAATAATATTTTGTCAACGGGTAATTTTCCATCCAAATGGGCTAAGAGTGTTATTGTACCACTCCATAAACAAGGAAGCTTTGACTGTGTTAACAATTATAGAGGCATAACTTTGATGGATATTTTTCGGAAGTTATTCTCCTCTATTCTGAATGCGCGTCTTAAACGTTTTTCTGATCACTTTAACAGTATACCTGAGGCCCAGGCAGGATTTAGGAAAGGTTATTGCACAACGGATAATATTTTCACTCAAATAAACTTCTTTCTAATGTTATTATTGTCATTAAACAATATATCATGTCACTAACCATAGTCCGGTAGTCCTGTGGGTACCCGGAAGGCCTTGACAAGAAATCGCTACGTGCTACACCAACATGTGGTAGACGTATACAACATTATACTTATAGAGGTGACTGTCAGGCCTGGCGACTTGGCTGATTGTATGACAATGTGCCTTGAGTACATGGAAAGTGACTCATATCGATCACTGGTTTGTCTGGTCCAGACTGGATTATCCACAGGGTACCGTTGCATACCCAGAATAGTGGTCAGTGTGTTGTTATAACAGACACAAGGGAATGACCATTTGATATTCTGAGGAAGGCCTGGGACTTTATATCAAGAATAGATACTTTTTAGCACAGAAACCAGATATTTTTACACAAAAAACTATGAGCCTGATTTTTTGTTGTTTTTTGTAGTAAAACCTTCAGGCAGCAGAGCTGGCTCGGTCCCTGCTTCCCCCTTGTTTTACTCTGTCTACCAAAACCTCAGTCACGTTTTATCCTTTACATATGATTAACTCCATCTACATTTTTCACTGTAGAAAAATCTAATGAAACTAATTTGGCCACTGGCCATATCCTCCAAAACGAAATCTATCTTAGTCAGAGGCCTCATTGGCTGGAAACAAGTGAAGTGGGAAATAACTCATGTATTTGAGGGTTTTTTATTTTCTGCATTACACATCCTTCATTGGTTTTATCAAAATTCAAACTGGATCACCTTTCAAATTTTTAAAGCTTATAATGTGAATGTTTGTTAGGTGTGCCAAACCTTAGTCACAACAGCTGGGTTGTTTGCTGAACAATCTTCCTGCATCCTTGACCTCCAGTTGGCTGGGGCACCTACACTACACTGGGAGCCAGGAAAACTCTTAAAGAGCACTGATGTCAGGACAATGTTGAAAATGGGTAACACATAAAATAAATTGTTCCTTATGCACTCTGTTTGCAGGGTTCATACTGTGTTAGTAAGTAATTTGAATACAGTTTATTTTATAGTTATTCAAAATCTCTCTGCTTAAGATGAGTGAGTGAATGATTTGGGTTTGACAGTTCTTTGAACAGTTTTAAGTGGTAGACACCTACCTGTTTGTTTGTTTGTTTGTTTGTTTGTTTGCCGCAGTTAAACATGAATACCCAAAACAGACAATCCACAGACAACAGACAATCCAGTGGTCGATATT